GCCTGCGACGATTGACCGAATGCTGAATGTATGTCAGCAAAATGATTCTCATGGACAGAAATAAGAGAAAGTGTAAGGACTTTAATGTTGACAGTGTTGGCAGTGCTGCTTTGAGGGCACATTGATTTTAAGCTTCCACCATGCTAATTACAAACACCACCGAACTTGTTGTTCGCAACGTAATGACGTCACGAGAGGGAACCATAGGAGGGCGCCACCACCACATGTCGCCGCTAATACCCGAGCGCAGTGTTCCCAGCGCATGCCAAGAACGATGCCCCACTTACCTTCCAAGAGGACTTATAATCTTGGTGGTGTGAACCGCACGTTGCGGAAGCGTTAAGGAAGCTCATCGCGAGCTCGTGCTCAACGACAGCGGGCTCAGCTATGTTAAAGGAGCTGTGCAACGATATTCAATTGGAATGTTTTTCACTTTACGCGAGTTTACTGGCACACCTGGGACTCAAGGATACTCACACGCAACGCCACTGGCCAAGAAACTCCTTTGTTGCGGTGTAATTTCAAGGACAAAACTGAGCGTTTTCATTCAATCTCTCCTTTGCAAAATTTGATGACGTAACTCGGGGATCGCAGTACACCCAAGTGACGATATTTGAATGCGGTTCATAGATTGGACCCGAGCATTGCGTGGGCACTCGACTTGGGCTCGTGACAATTGCTAGCTCGAGAAGCATTCGGGTGTCCAATCGCTGCAACGACGACAACAGCCGAGCTATAACAATGTCTGGAACTCAGCGCGTGTCCTGCGCTTTGCCAACCCCAGCGCGTGGCTATGATCAACACTGGCGGCATATAATCGGCTCCAGATCACGTGGCCGCTTGTTCTGGCTGCGAGTTGAGGGGGTGAACGCTGCTCGTTTTTCTGTAATTTTTTTCTGCGACCTCTATTGCGTGGGGTGAAAAACGAACGCGTGTTTCATAGGTCATTAACGTTAGGGATCCGTTTTAAGCGGTATTTGCGCAAAGTACAAACATTGTTGCATCGCTCCTTTAAAGCATTTGAAGAAACTTTGTAACGCCACCGTCTTTTTACTTTACACTGCCGTTCCACACAACCCTTAAATGGAAGAAGAGCGTGTTGTGCGAAGCAAGATTCAATCTGACCTTGAAGGGGCCATGAAACGATTTTTCTTTCACTAAGTACTACCCATACTCACTCCGCAACGTTAATAACCGAATAAACTTGCCTTAGCTTTTCTTTCTAAGCAATGGCAGCGGGCAAATAAATTGGAGAAATAGGAGCATCGTTCATCCCCTCAACTCAGAGCCAGAACAAGCGGCCACGTGGCCTGGTGCCTATCCTATGCCGCCAACGTTAATCGTAGACACACGCTGGGGTTGGCAAGGTAGAAAACGCGTGCTCAGCTCCAGGCATTGTTAGAGTTCGGCTCTTCTCCTCAACGCCGTGGTGGGATACGAGCCTCTACCCGAGTGTCCGCCGAGGCATTGATTGTTACGAGCCAAAGTCGAGTGCTCATGAAGTTCTCGCGTCCAATCCATGAGCCGCACTCGGCTGCCGTCAGGCCTGTGGTTTCGATTCCACAATTACGTCATCAAGCTTTGCGAAGGCAAGACTAAAAGAAATAGTATCTTTTTATCCTCAGAATTTCACCGCGACAAAGAAGCTTCCGAATCAGCGTCGGCCGATTCGGAAGCTTCTTTGTGAGCATACTTAGGCCATACTAGGACCAGTACGCCTTTGTAAAGTCATTAACATTCCAACCCGATATAGCTTCATGACCCTTTAATTTACTTATCGTCTAAATAATATCGGTGCCTTCCAATCTTATCTACGAAATGTCGGGTTTGTATCGTAACTCTCATAACCGTGCGGTCAGAAGTGGTTCTCGCGGTTCGTCGATAGTTTCGGTTTGTCGCGTTCCTGTACGCTATGGTCAGTTTACTTCAACGTTAGTTTAGTTCCACCAATCGGAGTACGAAACTCGGAGCGTTGGATTATACACCAACTCACGTTTACAAACAAACCGGAGCGCCCTAGCGGACGCCACCGACGCCGCGCATGCGCGATGGGTGTGTGGGCAAGAAGCTCGCCGTCGCCCAAAAAACAAAACATTGGAATGGGATATTGTCGGCGTCGGTGTGAGTCCCCAGGCTCTTCTTCGCGTTGGAATTATTGATGCTACGTTTTCCTGGCAATGTTTGACTACTTGAGCGGCCTCAGCGGAATTAACGAGGCTCGTTACACCGCAAAACTTGACGTGAATAACGCAACATGCGGCGATTCATTCCGCGTGGACGCCGCAGAATGGACGCTAAAGCCTGATTCACGTAGTAAGGTTCTTCTCGCTTTTTCCAGTCATGACGTCGCTCGGGCTGCAAAAGCCTGAACCGTAGCTGAGATGTCGACGTCGATACTGAAAATCGCAAGCAGAAATGTTGGAACAAAACAAATAAATCTGACGACCTCGAGTATCCGTGAATTCAATCCAAAGTGCTTTCCTTCCAAGCAATCGTGGTACGACGGCGTCTGTTTTTCCTTTTTAACGGCCCCTGTTCACGTTCTCGGACGAACCGAGCAGGGAGAAAACTGACCTTCAAACTTTTCGCGACTCTTTCGGTAAAGCCCCAGTCGCGGCGTTTCGACGAGAAGGCAGGATTTTGTCCGGTTTCTTCTGAAGTAACACAGGAATGCACGTGCCCCATGGTGGCTTCCGCCCACAGCTCCAGACCGGAAGTGCGCCCGAGGCGCCACCACCGCGCCGTGACGTAACAGAGATGAGTTCGTGTATCAGTTAAAGAAGCGCGGACTTAACCCGCTCCTTCTCGACCCCTCAACGACAGCTCATCGCGCGTGCTCATCGGGGTCTACGTTTTGTCGGCCGGCTGCGTGCAACGGTCCGCAGCAGGCCTTTCCGGCACGTATCGCGCGCTGACGCCGCTTTCCCCACGTCCGACTTGACCTCTCGTCAAAGGGACAGCGTGGACATGCATCCATAAACGTTGTCAGGGGATACGGAGATCCAGAAACGGCCCTCGTCGCCGGTCGCCGCTTTTCGTAACATCGCGACATGAGCGGCCGACTCGAGCGAAAAGCGTAATTTGCGGGCTCGTGACCACTTCTGCCCCGCGTTCTCGGCCGCAGCTGGCGGCGTCGCCGCTCCGATCCCATTCCCCGGCCAGCGCTGCCCGCGGGAAGCTACAACGAGTGGGCGTGGCAACGCAACTCTCGTGGTTTGGGCGCTGCTGCTCACGTGGAAGAGGCCGAGCTCCGTTCGCTCCCTGAAGGATGACGGCGCGTGGGAACTTGGCGAGCCCGCTGGCGAAATCAACGAGCCGGTCGTTAGCCAACGTGACCGCGCTTTTCGCAGCCCGCAGGTGGCGAGAGTTCGGTCACGTGTCTCGAGGCTGACGACACGATTGGTCCGGCCGTCCCCAGCACTTTCAGGCCGGGGAAAGAAGCGCCGCGAGGAAGACTCGACCGCGTGCAACCGTCGTGAGCTCACGCGACGGCGGCGGCGCGGTGAATTCTCCTCGCCGCCATCCATCAGCGAGCGGCGCGGGAGGCGCGCGGACGCGTGACCAGCTGCCGTGTTCAAATCGCGATCGCGCAAATGGACTCGTCGGTTACACGCCATTAAGGCGGCCCGCGTGTCGTGTTTGAACGACCTCGGGAAAAGCGGGGCGCCCGGGAACGCGGCCGTCTCCCACCGCATGCGTGGAGGGGATGGACGCAGCTCGTTAGGCACCGAGTGCCTGTCGCTGCTGCTTTCGCCGCTGCCGTTTTCGAGTAGTTCCACCCACTCCGTTACTAACCGCAGTCTTATGCTGCTATTTGTCAATAAAACAAAAATAGTTTTCATTATAGCTAGTTTCGCCAAGTAATTGTACTGGGGCGCAAATCACTGCGCATCTAAATTGATTTCGTTGCAGTTGCGACTATTTCAAGCGTTAGGCTTGTACTGGAATTATTTGGGTGTAATTAGGCGATAACCATCGTTACTGGGGTAGAGGCCCAGTCAGGCAGAAATGCCTTTTGCCACTACCTCCCTACCGGGCATGGCCCGTGAAAATCCCAATAAACTTTCAAACTTTCAAACAATAGGAAATGTACTACGGCCGTGGGTTTCGAACCAGCAGCGCGAGCTCCGTGAAGATACGATACCAATATAGTACTCTACAAGACTCGACATGCTACGTCTCCCCCTCTTTATTCTTTTATTTTTAGCTTTTGCTTCAATTCTGTCCGTCATCGTGCCTCTTTTTTTGAAGAGATTTCTTTCCCGCCAAGTTTTACTTGCTTGCGTATTCACCTAAAACAAACATAGTTCTGCTAGGACACAAAATCAATTCGGCAATTCGAATGGAGTTGCCGAGCTGGGTAATCAGCCGAATTGGGACCACTTTGTCTTGGAAGGAAGTGAAGGGTAGCTCCTCAAAAAACAATTTAATTTCTTTTCCTGTAACTACCACACTTTCTGTCGGATGAGTGACACTCGCTCCAACTTCCCGCCCCTGCGCGGGTCGTTATCGTCGATAGCTTCGGTCCATTTACCTGCAACTCCCGCACCGGTGCAGAAAAGTGTAGGGCAGTGTACTTCGGGTATGTATGTTGAGATGGGACCGGTAGTACACTGCCCTACACTTTTCTGGCGGAGGAACAGGTAAGTAGAAGGAAGCTAGTATTGTGCACTGGCTGACCTATCCGCGGTGTCGTGTACGACCAATGCCAAGACAAGATCTGAGCGTGACGTCATAGCTAGTGGTACCCCGACGCGCCCCAAGCGGCAACCACGCCGAAGCTCCAGGAGGGACGTTACAAAGCGACAGATCTTTGCGTCGCCGCCTTCTGCGCTTGTTGTGATACGTTGCGAGACGCGCTGGTGGCGACGCTGCGAGGATCCATTAGTGATGACGTCTGAAGTGGAAAGGCCTTGGTCTCTAGATGGGACATTGTGGCCGATAGTATGGTACGCTGTTCTGGCCGTGCATTACTGACCCGCACCGTCGTTCCGTTGCAGGCGGTGATCCGCAAGATGCGCGTGACGTGCAAGTGCCACGGCGTGTCCGGGTCCTGCTCGCTGGTCACCTGCTGGAAGCAGCTGGCGCCGTTCCGGGAGGTGGGCGACCACCTCAAGGACAAGTACGACTCGGCCACTGAGGTGAAGGTGAACCGCAGGGGAAAACTCCAGGTGCGCCAGCGGCGCTTCAACGTGCCCACGGCCGAGGACCTGGTGTACATGCATGAGTCGCCTGACTACTGCGTCTCCAATGACACCCTGGGCTCGCTGGGCACCGCGGGCAGGCGCTGCAACAAGACCTCTTCGGCCACAGACGGCTGCGGCCTCATGTGCTGCGGTCGTGGCTACAACAGCCATAAGCTCAAGCTGCGTGAGCGGTGCAAGTGCAAGTTCCACTGGTGCTGCTACGTCGAGTGCAAGACGTGCGTGAGCGTCGTGGATGCCCAGACCTGCAAGTAGGCCGAAGTAGGACGCGGGCTGAGACTCCGAGCAGCTAGGACGCTCCTTTCACGGGCGCTGCACGGATCTCTGTGGAGGCCCCGTCGCTTCATCACCGTGCCACTAATGCCCGTCTGGAAAGGAGATTTCGCTTGAGAGCAAACATCTTCAGCGTATGGGTGTTGAGTTCACGAAGCAAGAACGTTGTTTTCTTGACGACTCTACAACGGTGTTCCGTGGACCTGATTTTCCAGAAAGCCATCTCCAATTGACCTCCGGCGGCTGCAGTTGCTTGATCATTCCTGTAGGCGGCACTTCCTGTTTCAATCTTTGAACCTCGTGCATGCCCTCCCTCAGTGACCCATCACACGGACTTTCTGACGAACTGAGCGCTTAATGATTCGTGGACATGATCGATGTCTTTTACCGGAGAGCCTGCCCGAAATGCCGCAGCGGTTTCCACCTTACCTTACTGTCCCAGACTGGACCTTCTTGCGTTCATCTTTATTTATTCACTTTGCCGAGTAGGCCCAGGCTACGCCAGAAGAGCGGTGATTGTTTCCCGTGAGCGTGTGTGAAGCCACGACGAACATCGGTCTCTACTTCGAGGTTGGTTTGACGATCAGTCTTTGTGCAAATTTCGTTTTTGGCCCGTGACACTGACCGGCGTGTATTCACATAGTGCGTGCTGAGGCAGTCAGGTGTTTGACCTACAGTGGTAGACAATCCAAAGACAGCGCAAATGTGCTCTTCATCGGGGACGAGGTCTGTAGAACAAAACGAGACTGGTGAAAAAAGCGCACCCCTTTTATTTCGAAATGCACGCCAAGCGAGCGACTGCGTCCCCGAATGATGGGCGGTGTGAAGATCTATGTTCTTTCCCCATATACTCGGGCGTGTAAGTAAAGTTGACAGGTAATGGGCAGTTGCTGCTGATTTAGAACGGAAGGAAAGGGTACTTGCGGTTGTCGCACTGTGCGAGCCTCATTAAATTCTCCAGCGGCATTTTTAATTTTAAGCTTCGCGCTCCCATCGTAGTCTTGTATATAAACGTAGAGCTTTTGCAGAGGTTCATTGAAGTGGAAGCCGGTCTAACCGTTCATCTCAATGCCAACCAAGGAATTCACCACATTTCTTTGGAAGGAGTTCCCCGTTGTGTTTGAAACTTTCCGACAGTGAATGTAGCGACAAAATTTGAAATACCTCCTCCTTTTCCACTGTGACACAACAAACAAATAACGGCCTACTTAATTAAATTATCTCGATGCGCCATTTAAGATGTATTTGTAATTTCAATCTCCACCATTCGATGAAACGGAGTCTAATACGTTCTTGAATTGGAACTTCCCGCAGCGATCGCTCCCTTGGCCAGTTGCAGGTGTTGACACTGAGACCAGCATTCCCAGTGAAATTAAAAGAAGGATCGCTATCAAATAGTCATTTGTGTTTTTTTCTTTCTCTATTTACATTTTTCCCGTAACTGAAACATGCGTGTAGGCGAGCAAGCCGGTAAGTACCATCCGCCATAAACGCGAGACAAGAAAGAAGAAATGAACGAGTAAAAAAACCGCCATGCTATACATACATGCAAAACCCACAGTCACGACTCTACTCCCGGCATGATACAAAAGACGTTCCTACATGATGACAGAATCATCTGCGGACACGCCTCACGCATGTTCGAATCATGTTTGCTTCATTCATAAGCACGCTAAAAATAGAGTTTTAGGGAGCCGCTTTTGCACATTCGATGCGATACGGTGGGCCCTCCGATATGTGCCACCGCAGGAAACTCGCACATGTGCCGTTCGTAACGGGGTACTTATCGTACCGTATCGGATGTGGAAAAACGCTTCCCTAAAACTCTCTGGTATGTCTGCGTATGGCCAATGCGACAGGACCGTCATACGAGGGAATAACACGCCTCAGACACTATACTTCGTTTCAGCTTCGGTCCGAGCGCGGCCGATGTTATGAGCCGAAGGGCCAATCAAACAGCGAAAGAGGCACAACGTCATGGCGTGCTCTTTGCAGTTGATAGGACCAGCGTGCTCTCTGTGCGTGCTCCTTTGTCGGCTAGTCCTATCATGCGCAGAGCGCACGCCATGACGTTGCGCTCTTTACGCTGTTTGATTGGCCCTTTTGCTCATAACATCTGCCGCGCTCGGACCGAAGCTGAAACGAAGTATAGAGCGTTTTAGGGAACAGTGTTTGCAGATCCAATAGGGTACGATGCTCCTCTAGCTACAAGCAGCGCGTATGCGAGTCGTCTGCGGCAGCGCATGCGCAATTCGTGCCGGAGGGCCCATCGTACCATACGGGATGTGCAAAAACGGTTTTCTAAAACTCACTACTGTTTGCAGACTGTCTTTTGTGTGACGTGTTAGCAGTGTGAGGGGGCGGCTTAAAGGCAGAAGGAGTCCACTTCGTATTTAACGCGCCTTTCGTGTGCAGGTTGTTCAGAACCAAAAGATCAATGAGCCTGCCATTAGCCCAATCGTTACGTCACATGCACAGACATGAACAGTACGAGTATAGTGCCTGGAACCTGTCTTCGATCGCCCTGTTTAGCGCGTCCACATTTGTGGCTCCTCAATTTCCACCTGATCACGTCACACTTGTGTCGTGCTCTTTCTTGCCGCGATCCTGGCGGCGGCAGAGCAGCGGAGGGGGATACGCCAAACGCCCGTTCCGCTGTAGGTATCTCCTTTGACGTTCACGGAAGCTTGGACAGTCAGGAGTTGGGAAGCCTAAAGGGGCACGGAAATGAAATGACGTGAGCGCGAGCTCTCTTCCCCTCGCTTCAAAGTCGACCAGCGAGAAGCGCAATGCGTATCCCGCTCGTGACGTGAATAGTTCATGCAAGGCCAAGGGTACTGACTGTAGTTGCCAGCCTTGCCGTTTGGTGGCGTCCACGCGTGACAATCTCGCTTAGTAGTACTATCCGAGGACTGTACGCCCTGGGGCTTATACATAGCTTGCCCGTAACGTCATTCGCAGCCATGCCGATTTGTTTTGTGCCACGACCGTTCGGTTCACTGTTGTAGAAGTATGCAGCTCGAGGGAGCCAGTATGTATAAATAATCGTCAGTACCCAGCAATGGCAACACCTGCAAGCTATGTATACAAGGTATTCACTGGGTGCCATGGGGAGGGGGGCGTTTGCTTGACAGAGGTCCCCGCATCCTCAAATCAAGCTCCTATCTAATGTCTGCAAAAACGGCGATCTTGATTGTGTGGAATGCATGTCGCGGAAGCACTGTGGGAGCTTTACCAAATACAACTTATACTCCCTTGACCCTGAAAGGGACACTGACAGGGTGTTTATGCTCGCCGAGGTTTTTAGTTGTACATGTATGAGAGCCCAACTACCCAGAACACAATTTGCGACTCGAAATTCGGTTTCTTTCCGCCCGAAAACTGCCGATCAAGAACTGGCCGGTTCGAGTCTCGCTCACTCTCTTTTCCGTGGTCACGGGCCGTTATCTAAGGTATCGAAGCGACCACCAAATTTAATCAAAGTCGTTGGTCACTGAAGGCAGACACTCAATATTAAAAATAGAAAAAAATGTGAAACCCATTTTTTGTGGCTTCTAAAAAGCTGCAAATACGTTGATTGAAAAAAAAGTTGCACAGAGAACCGGAAGCATTCTGTGCGTGCGTCGTTTCGCGTATCGTGGGACTCGCGGGGACGGCGATGGCAGCGGACGACGGGCGTTGGACCTCTACTTCAGAACTGTCGTTCGCGGTAGTGGCGAATTCTGTCTGCCTTTAAAAGAGAAATTTGGGACTGATCAAAAGAATTGGTATTCATCCCGTACAACACGCCCGACCACCAAGCCGATTTGCACGAAGACGTCGCCGAGCCGTCGCTCCCTTCTCGTGGCTGAAGACATCGCTCGCGCAAACGTCAAGCACGACGGGTCTACTTCGAGTTGAATATGCACGCGTACGATTTCTTTACTATGTCGCCAATACGTGGTGCTTCCCGATTTCGACCCGGGAGTGCTTTTGCTGGATGAAAATCGGCAGCAAACTTTCCAACTTACCGTTTACCGGCTGCATTGTTACTAAGGAAGGAAATCACCCAACGAAGAGATGCCTCAGTAGCTCAGTGGGAAAGACGTCCGCTTCACACGCGGAAGAACCGGGATCCATCCCCGATGAAACGTTTTTTTTTTTTTTTTTTTTTTTCAAAAATTGTTTTATGTTTACATTTCTTTTTTTATATAATTATCACTGAAGAAACAAACAAGAAAATAACAAACAAATGTTGTGGACGACACGTCGCTGAATTAATTGGTATGGGATATCCTTTTTGACACCTGCTAACTCAATGTAATCACTTTCCACAAAATGCAAGAAGCATATAAATCAGGTAGCGTCCGCTTTCCGAGGTGCCTATAAATGTTCTACAGGAATTGCAGCCAGCCATTGGTCCCGATCCCGTTGATCTTTCGGAAACTCTGTCGCACAATGCCACTTTTTTTCGGACGCAGGACATGTGAGCCAGCTCTTCACGCAACATCTTGGGCGTATTCTTTTCGGAGCCGATCATGGAAATTACTCACTACTCATCTCCAACTCCTCAATGTACAAAACAACTCATCTTGGACTACAGAACAGCGAGCGGAACAAACATAACTTCAAAAGAATCGCGCGGCAAACAGTTCCCACTACGCCGCATGTCGTCTGCTACAAAAAGGAGAAGGAAGGAAAAAAAAAATTGCACGGTCGGGTGTAGCCACGTGACTTCCGCCACTCCACTCTCTTCTCTCCACTTCTCCGACCTCCGTCGGGTTTCGGTTTCGGTTTCGAGCAGTTGCGTCTTTTGGCTTTATTAAAAAAATACGCTACTCTGTTGCAAAATATTAATTGGGTAGTCCTCCGACACCATAATGAAGCGCCTGGCGAAAAATGAAAAAAATATTTTGGGGGGTGTCAGTGTCCCTTTAAAGAACGATGACCAGTTCGCGCTCTCTCCTTTCCCCCCGTTTCTTCCTCTCTCCCCTTCTGTCCTGTCCACCGCTGCCCGTTTCCTCCTCCCCCATAGTGAGGAGGATCTGCCCTGCAGAGTCTCGAGTCTGGTCGTCGGCTTTTAGGGAAGATTCACACAGTTGCGTTGATTCCGACCGAGTGCGAGGGTTGCTATGGCAACAGCGGCGTCGGCAACAGCTGCGTTGGAGCCGACGCAGCTGTTGCCATAGCAACCCTCGCACATGATCGGACTCAACGCGAGTGTGCCCTTTGAGCTGAGACTGCAGCACGGTGTAAGATGCATTCTTTAGGTGAGGACACGGCGGGGCTGAACGCGCGGCGCGAGGAACCAGATAGCGTTCGTTCGGCGGGCATCCGAAAGGCTGCATCATTCCGCGGCCACCGTGCCCGCGGCTGACAGTGTCGCCGGCGGCCAAACGGCGAAACTCTGTGAGAGCAAAAAAAAATGATCTCGTTGCCATGACACCCCGGGGCCGCAATTTCGCCTGCTCAGCGTCTGCCCCTTGCACGTTTTTGCTTGGTTTCGAATTGCGACGGAGACATTCGGAACTCCAGTCGCCATACGCAACATGGAATGAAGATTGAAGCCGTGGGCGGCGTTTGACAACGCGTTTGACGCGGCTTCAAAGCGGTGCCAATGGGCCGGAGATGCTTCGTCCAGAGCTGCAACTCAGGTCACCCTAGATGCAGAAGAAAAAGGTCAGTCTGTTCAAGGTCCCATCCGACCCCACACGTCTGGAAGCGTGGGCTCTAGCAACTCCTCGCAAGCACCGTCCGCATGGCCCTAAAGATTTTGTTTGCATCAAACATTTCACCAACAACGTGATTGTGAAAGGACGATACTTCGCTTTGATGTAGAGATGTTGTCCCCGCGATGTTTTGCCAAGAAAATATGAATCCCAACATTAGTGTCTGATGCTCACGAGCCTGACCACCGAATTCAGAAACCTCACTCAAACTACACTCAAACTGAAGGGCCCCTCCACTTCCTCGAGGAAGGCGCGAGGGCCGGCGCTGGCCAATTGCGATGGCGGATCCGTCCTCGCGATTGGCCAGCGCCGGCCCTCGTGCCTTCCTCCAGGAAGTGGAGGGGCCCTTCAGTTTGAGTGTAGTTTCCGCCGAATTCAGAAACCTCACTCAAACTACACTCAAACTGAAGGGCCCCTCCACTTCCTCGAGGAAGTGGAGGGGCCCTTCAGTTTGAGTGTAGTTTGAGTGAGGTTTCTGAATTCGGCGGTAAGTGAGGTTTCTGAATTCGGCGGTGAGACCTAGAAAGGGATGAAATTCCAGGGAAGCGCCGACAGATACCCGCTTAGCCTGTTTGAATAACGCGCCAAATGCCTCTGTTTTAGTGTCTTCATAAAACTTCCCTCGCTGCCGTTGAGCCACGAAACTAAGACAAACGACGAATCTATGCCTAAGCAACACACATACTA